ATAATCCAGTGAGGTGAGGAGACCTACACCTCCACTGGCACGCTCACCTGCAAGGTTATCCTTCCTGACGAAAGAAAACCTCCGAAGTTTTGCATTGTTGTTCTGGTTTTCAGATTTGTTTCCTGTATTGCGAAGCACACAGGATGATAAGCATTATTATAGCTTTGATGTCAAGCAAATTTCGGTGGAAACCGCGACAGTTCCATGACACGAGGGTGGCCATTATGAATGGTTTTTGTTTTTCTGTGCTGTTCTTTTGTTTTTCGTGGAAGTAGATGCCTGGGAACTTCCAGACCCTCTTCCACTTCCATAAAGTCTGAATCCGCAGATTCAGAAATCATCTCATCAAGAGAGCTATTGCTGCGACTTCTATTTTTATTTGATGTTTTTGTGTGGCAATTTTGGGCTTACTTTGAATAACTGTTTCTTTTTTTTGTACTATATGGGTTGCATTTTCTTTTTTCTTGTTGGATGTAGACGGTTGGGTTTTATTTGGTAGGGTCTGTGTGCCTATTGATGTTTGGGTGGCAACTGTACGAGATGATTTAACAGCACTGGCGTATGATGTATTTGGTCGAAGCTGTGTGCTCTGGACTAGTCTTCTGGCTTCGGCGTAAGAGATGTTCCTCGTAACTTTTGTAGTCTGGACTTCTTTTTCCGATTTCCATTTTGGGCACAAGCGAGAAAATGCTGGGTGGTCACCCTTGCAATTTTGCACAAAGGCGCAGCGGCGGTAAAACAGAATCGTGGCCAATCTGTAGCATCGGGGGCGCATGTGAGGCTGCCACAACAAGACGTCTTAGAATGGCCGAAAAGCTGGCATTGGAAACATCGCATAGGGTTTGGAATATAAGGTCTTACAGGAATATTTAGATATCCGGCCTTAATATTCTTAGGCAGATCAGGCGTGTTTCCTGTCTATCAACTTACCTTCTTTACGCATCTTGATCCGCCTTGCACCGCAGACATTTTGGTCGGATAGCTCAGAAGCGATCTCTTCTTCAGAAACATACAGAAGGTCGAATTCTGAGATTACCCCACGACAACAGTTGAGTGACTTATGTGGTGTTACAATGACATTCGCTTGCCCAAGTTTAGTTATCTGAAGTAAAGAAGCAGACTGGGTGACTGAGGTTGTATCAATAAGCAAGTCTCCGGAACGGAGACGCTTTATATTTCTCGGCTCACCAATACAAGACTGGATGTATTTGTTTATTACGAAAGGAGACATCTTATGCATTTCGCCAGAAGGACTAGAGATGACTAGGAAACGGGGACTATTGTTATGATTTTTTTCATTTGTATCTGTACGTAATTTTTTTGCAGTAGACTTTTCAGAACTAGGTTGAGTGAGTGGTTTAGCAGTAGACGTTTCAGAAATAGGTTGAATGACTGGTTTAGCAGTAGATGTTTCAGAACTAGGTTGAGTGACTGGTTTAGCAGTAGACGTTTCAGAACTAGGTTGAGTGACTGGTTTAGCTGTAGACGTTTCAGAACTAGATTGAATGACTGGAGTGACTTGATTGACTGGAGTGACTTGAGTGACAGGAGTGACCTCGAAATCTTTAATTAGGTATATATGTGAAGAAGCCATAGTGAAAGAAAAAATGATTCGGGTCCGACGGCCCCGCCCACCACGGAGCCCAACAAGGGAACACAGATTCCTGTGTTAGGGCTAGCCGGACCTATACGCAAACTGAAGCCCCACAGTCGGCTTTCCCGAAAGCAGGTACTCCCGAGAGCTTGACCCCAAGCCACTGACACAAGGACTAGTGACCAGCCGATTGACACCCGTGAGGACGACTAAGGTGCCTCCCGTTTAGCTGAAGCAGAGGCCAAAGCAGTGTGTTGGGGACAGTACCTCGCCCCTCAACTACCAGGACCCTCCTTTCCAGCGACACGGGTCTCCACGCACGGCAAACACGTGGGCAGTTTTCTCGCCACTCGAAAACTAGAAACAAGGTCTGTTCCAGCCTCTCGTGACGAGCCCCAAACTCCGTAGAGAGAAACCACAAGGGAGAAGGGAAGGGAAAAGTTCCAGCCAAGAGGAGAGGAGACGGAAAAGAGGATAGATCACTGGGGCTCCAGGATCGTGACACCCGTCTCACCAAGAAGATGATCCCCTGAAGGGCTAGGGTACCTCGGGATTGCCACACCCATACTCACAAAAGTGAGCCCCCTGAGGGTCCAACACAAATGCTCTGCATATAGCAATGTTGTAGAATTATGAAATTCCAGAAGTGAAACAGTAAAATGCCATTAATGACATTGTATGGATGCAAGATGATGCTCTTTCACACTTCGTCACGTGTTCAACAAGTGCTGCAACAGCACGTTCGAAAAGAGTCATCTCCCATAACTCTGCAGTTTCATGGCCTCTGCGATCCCCAAATGGATTTTGGTAGATTGGATGGTAGATTTTATGTCAAATGGCATAGGTTAAAATTAGGAGTAAAATCAAAAATTAGTATGATTCGTATAAATATTAGTATGAAAAATTAGTATGAATATTGGCTATTACCACTGCTGCTGCTTGTCTAGAGAGAGACCTGCTTTGTTTGTTGAAAGCAGGTTGATATTTGTTGAAAAAGCACTATTAAAATCACAATTTAATATGTCACAGTTTAAAATACGTGCAATTTATGACACTGATTCTTAAACGATATTAAGATAACTACACATTAAAACATTTATGTTTTGTAGCAACAATGCTCAACAAAATATTTATGCATCTTTTTTATTTGAAGAATTTCCAGACATTCTGGCTAATTTATATCAATTTCCTTCTCTTAAACATCTTTTCTAAAAACCAGAAATTTGTTTCAATATGCAAACCAATATTCCAACTAGTTTCTTCGTGTTTTATCTCCTAACTTATCAATCTCTTAACTATGTACTATGAAGTTTTACTTGATCTGATAAAAGTTAAATAGTCCAAAACCCCTCACAGGCATGAAGCAAATTATTGCCATGTCTGAAACTAACTACAAAGTCAGAGAAAAGTTTAAATAATTCTCTTATTTAAAAAGATCTTAGGTATGTTCTTATGCTAGCAAAATCAACTATAGCTTGTGGTGATGAAATTAAACAGGAACAGTCAAATTCAAACTAAAATTTAATTTTGATTCAAACTGGCTCACTAACATGTCGTAAAAAAAACTCGTAATTCATTGTATTGTAGTTATCACATAACAAATTCAAATATTGGCAGTGATAACACAAAGACGAATAATTACAAATTATCAGAACTGGTCGGAACTAATGGAGTGTGCAAGCGGAGGCCAGAAAAAAATTCTGTCTTACAACCCCAAAACGTTAGTTAAAAAATTATCTATGTGATTTTCATTCTGGTGAGGAAACAGAAAGGGAAAATTATAGCAAAGGCTGAAATTATACACAATTGCTTAATTTACATAATAATAGCTGTACATATCTTTGAAGAGTAATTTTCTTTCTCTTTATGTATTCGGTTTCTTTCTTCAATATGTTTTGTCTTCATTACAGAACTTTTGGATTTAATTAAAGATTTCTGTTATTCTAAAAAATTAACGCATTTTGAATACATAGGAAAAGGTGCTACTTTTATTTCTTTAGTAATATGAACATTCAGAATAAATATGAAAGTATATACGGTAAGGCCTGATTACAGAACCGGTGTGAAGCAAAATCTAGAAATAGCAAAATTTTAGAATTTAGATGATTAAAATTAAGGACTTGCTGAATTCGGTTGAAATTGAATACTTTAAAGACCAAAAATTGATTCCAAAAAACCTAAAGACTTTTTAAAAACTCTTAAGGACCATACAAACCCAGATATCTCACCACACACTGGTGCATGACTGGCTGGTGGAAAACATATATCATGCAATGGTATGCAATTAGTCACTGGATAATATCACCACATAATGAACCAGCATGCGACCATCAGTAACAAATGTGTTAAAAAGCAAAAATTATCTTTACTTATCTAGAATATTTATCTCATAGCAACTAATAAAGTTAACTTATTGCCAAGAACTTACCGGATATACCCGCGTATAAGTCGAGATATTTTGGACAAAAAAGACTTCAAAGTGGTGGGTCGACTTATACTTATACATAAAAAATTAAAAGAATCGGAAGTTAAAAAATTTTCTGAAGAAGTGACAAAACACCTAAAAACGACTGTGGCCGTAATTCCGCGAGGATTGACATCCGTCATTCAACCCCTAGATGTCTGCCTCAATAAGCCCTTCAAAGTAAATGTTTGAAAATATTGAGCAGAATGGATTAGTTCCAGTTGACCAACATTTACAAAGGGAGGCAACATTAAAAAGCCCGATATTACATTTTGCTCAGAGGGTTAAAGATGCTTGGAACGAAATACCCTCTGAAATGATTATAAAATCATTTAAAAAATATTGTATTAGCAACGAACTAGACGGCGTGAAATATGATGCTGTTTTTGAAAGTGAAAATGACGACGAAGGCTCTAGTAGTGATTGTAACAATACAGAGTTCGAGACTGAAAATATGTATGATGACGAACTAATGACGACAGAAGAGTTCTATGAAATGTTTGGCAAATCTGACCATGAATTGGATGTTGAAGGATTTTGATTTTGTTTATTTACCAAGGTATTTTTGATCGTATATTTACTTTTTTTTTCTCAGATGATTTTGAATAAATGTAGTACTTAAAAAAAAAAAAAAAAAAAAAAAAAAAAAAAAAAAAAAAAAAATCGAAGTTTCTCGATCGATTTCGGAAGTGTGGGGGGGGGAGTCGACTTATATACGGGTTTCTTATTTTCTATGAATTTTTTATGTCGAAGTGGGGGGTCAACTTATACGCGGGTATATATGGTAGTTTATTTAATTTTTTTAAAATTAAATTTTGAATTTCAGTTTATAAAGAGAAAGATAATTCTAAAATAACACACACAAATTGTCTGATAACAGTTTGGGTACCAATGCATATAGTATATAGCTCTACAAAGAAGAACAAAGTACATTTTATTTACCATTTTATGCTGAACCAAAAATCGAATAGTATCTCTAATGCCTGAAGAAGCCATATTAGAAGTATAACCTAAGAATATTGTGCAGTTTGATTTTCTTTGTATAAATGAATCTGACTCCATATCATCAAGATCTTCACTGCGTAGCAGCTGATTTCGACATAACAGCTGTAAACAAAAAAAAAAAAAAAATTATAAAAAAGAGAAAAGTATATAATCCTATTGAATAAAATAAACGCAACAGATTTTTTTGTCTTTGTCCCTTAAATGCATTCTGTTGTTGAAATACAAGTGTTAGTACTTACAGTGACTAGGAATTAGTCACCAAATTTGCTATTATTTACAGCCAAACAATATAACTAGTTCATACCTTAATGAAAACTAAGTAATAAGGACTGCAAAATCATTTTCCCCCCAGATTCCGAATTATGACAATTATCAATTTACCATCAAGTGAAAATGAAGATACTGCATTCTTTATACCTTCCACAAAAATTTGCAAAACCAGATATGAAATGAAGTTACATTACCACTGCAGAAGCCACATGCATTCTGAAAAACTGACAGAAAAAGCCCTTATGTTGGCAACAATCTTCCTGCTTGAAAAATCACATTCCTGACAACTGTATGCTGTTATTTTCGATTTATGGCCACCTAAAATCTAATTACATCTTTTTTGCCTAAATTTTATGGCAATTTTTCTTTTGTGCTTTGGTCGGCAGTAAAATCCACAAGTACCCAAGTTTTTAATAAAAGAAGGCGATGACAAATAATCAAACTATATGATCCCACTAATTATCACACTATATAATTTTATTTTTAAGAAATTAGTTTGGTACTATTCGATTTTGAGGGCCGTAAAAAATCGCCAAACTATTGTTGATGGCAGTGCTGCCAAAAATAATTGCAGCAACCCTAATGCAAGAAAGGAAGCATAATAGTAAATAACTATCTAAGATTTATGTTTTAATTTAGATGAAAGGCTAATTTTATACAATACTCTTTTATTATTATAATTTATATAAAAAAGGCTAAAGCTGAATGAATGAAAGCATAAGAGTAAATAACTATTTCAGATCATTATTATAATTTATATGAAAATTGCCAAACATAACTGAATGGATGCCTGCATCGCTATTTCGCTACCGAGTTATCGCTAAAGCATAATTTCATCTCGTTGGTTACTCAAACATAATTTTCTATAATGAATGATGCCTTTCTTTGAAAAAATTCTCGGTAAAGAGCAGAATCGCCCACTTATTTGATTGCCGCTTTTTACAAGGGTAAAAACAATTGGATTTTTGTCAATTTTCTTTTTTTTTTTAAAGTGAAAATAGGTCGATGTGTATATAGATAAAGTCAAGGGTGTGCGCAGTGCCATTTTTGTGCAATTTTGGGATTTTTTTCAAGTGAAAATAGATCGATGTGTACATGCATACCGAGTTTGAGCAATTCTTAAAAAAACGTCAAGTAGTGGGTGATTCTGCATTTTAACCAAAATTCTATTGCAGACTTTTCGTCATGGGCATCCCCAAATTGTGAAATCCATAGGACATCAAAAAAGGATTTAAAAATTAAACTAGTATTTCAATGGCATCTTAAGAAATATAGAACTATATAAACTTAAGCAATCTGAAATCAGCGCGTACGCTACATTTAGCGCACTGTTTAAATGAGCGCATTTCCTAGATTTGGCGCTTTTGTGCATACATTTTCGCTGCAATTTTTTTACGGTCCTCAAAATGGAATAGTACTATTAGTTTTTTTGCCTGCTAAATTTAAAATTCCCCCCCCAAAAAACTAAATAATGCTTCAAATTGAAATTTTAATGAAATTTAGAATAATCCTTGCTAATACATTTTGCTTTATATTAAGAAGCATGACTATTTAAATTTTATTTTTAACGATGTAACACATTTAGGGCTTGCAAAATTATGTACAGTCAAAAGTCGTTAATTCGGACACCCATAATCCGGACCTCAAAGCTACAAAATTTCTGCGCATGCGTCCCATTGACGCATGCACGTAAGACCTTTACGGCTGCGAATATGCATGTGCGCATGTACAAAATATGTTTACGCATGTGCGTTTAATGTATAACGGACGGTATAAGCTAAGCTAAAATTATCTAATTCAGTTACTGTTGCAGATAGTATTGTTCCTTAATCTTCGAATTGGATCCAGCTTATTATTTTTTGCAGACTGTTAGAGCAATTTTATAAAAGTAAGCTTGAACTTTCGATTATGTCAAACTGAATTTCCGATATATATCTACTAATAGGTAAAGGATATACCAAAGCGAAAATATGTTTCGACGTCCATTAAACAAAAGTGGAATTGCTGCAGCAAAAAATAACCTCCAAAATCTGTTTATCAATTTCACGCTGCTTTGCGGTGGGGGATGGGGGGTGGCACGCAATCAATTGGAAGTTGATCGGTCAGCACTATCCGTATCTTCAGGGCAGATGTTTTCAACGCCGCGACGTGCAATAAATTGGAAGTTGATCTGTCAGCACTATCCTTATCTTCAGGGCAGATGTTTTCATTTTATTTGGCTTATAATTCCTTACTAAATGTAGTATTTCATCTCGATGTATTCCGTCTTTGATATGATTTAAATTAAATTCCTCGTCATTATAATTTGCTTCCGATAGTGAAGAAAGTGACACAGAAGTTATCGAAAACGAAAAAATTTTGATTGACAAATTAGTCGGTATTCTCGACACAGCAATTATAGGACTTGAACAGCGGATCTCTGTAACTGAACAAGAAATTATGTCTGTTTATAGAATTAAAGAGAAAGTAGTATCACAGAAAACGAAGCAAACAACTTACATTGAAAGAAATGTTTAATAAAGTAAACAAATAAATATTAAGCTTTTTTTTTTTTTGTAAATTTTGATACCCTTTAGATCATAATTGTTCTTTATTTCATAAATTATGGTTTCAAATTTTTAATTTTATAATTTCTGCAAGGCATCTTACCAGATTTAAACTGATGATCTACAATCCGGAATCGGCAAAGTCCTGACGAGTCCGGATTAACAACTTTTGACTGTATTAGACAAAAAGGAAAAAAAGAAACATTGAATACAGTCAAAAGTCGTTAATCCGGACTCGTCGGGACTTCGGAGATTCCGGATTATAGATCATCAGTTTAAACATGGTAAGGTGGCATGCAGAAATTACAAAATTAAAAATATGAAACCATAATTTATGAAATAAAGAACAATTATGATCTAAAGGGTATCAAAATTTACAAAAAAAAAAAAAAAAAAAAAAAAAAAAAAAAAAAAAAAAGGCTTAATATTTATTTGTTTACTTTATTAAACATTTCTTTCAATGTAAGTTCTTTAAGTTGCTTCCTTTCATGTGATAATACTTTCTCTTTAATTCTATTAAACAGACATAATTTCTTGTTTAGTTACAAAGTTCCGCTGTTCAAGTCCTATAATTGCTTTAAATCATATCAAAGACGGAGTACATCGACATGAAATACTACATTTAGTAAGGAATTATAAGCCAAATAAAATAAAAACATCTGCCCTGAAGATAAGGATAGTGCTGACAGATGAACTTCCAATTCATTGCGCCCCCCCCCCCTCTCCTCGCCGCAGAGCAGCGTGAAATTGATAAACAGATTTCGGATTTCGAAACATACTTCTGCTTTGTAGATCCTTTACATATTAGTAAATATATATCAGAAATTCTATTTGACATAAACGAAAGTTCAAGCTTACTTTTATAAAATTGCTCTAACTGTCTGCAAAAAATAATCAGGCGGATCCAATTCAAAGATTAAGGAACAACGCAATCTGCAACATTAACTGAATTAGATAATTTTAGCTTAGCTTATGCCGTCCGTTATACATTAAACGCATATTCGCAGCCGTAAAGGTCTGACGCGCATTTGACGCGTGCGCAGAAAGTTTGTAGCTTTGAGGTCCGGATTATAGATCATTCTGGATTATGGATGTCTGAATTAACAACTTTTGCCTGTATAATGATACAAATGTGCTAGAGATTTACATTAAAATTTTTACACTGAAACATGTTCAGTGAAAATTTTGGTAAAAAAAGAGTTACAATGATGAAATATTTTTTAGAAGCTTTAAATGCACATGCATGATCTGAATGCATTATAAAAGCAGTTAGTACACAAATGCTTAGATTAATAAGTTATGAAGAAATATTTAATTATAATAATAATAAAATATTTTTTTAAAATAAGCTTTTGTAACTCATAAAATAATGAAATAAAAGGAGAAAATAATTTATCATACAGTTTAAGAGGAACGAGAAATTTTCAGCCAAATAAATCAGATAATATGTTTAAAATTTAATGCAAATTTTATTTAAATAACCTTTTTCTCTACTTTATCTGTTGGTATAAACAGTAAGATTATGATATATTTAGTTTATTCATTAAATAAAGACATGTGCAAAAAATCATTTCAACATTAAAAAACTAGATTAACTTTTCAAAAAATAATACTACTCCACATTGTATTGCCATCTTCAAACATTTTGTATCCTAAATTTGAACATGAAAGCTTGTGAAAAAATACTTTAAAAATTAATGAGAAACTTTTGACCATAATGACAAACACCATGTGTGAACTAAATAAAAAGCCTACAAAACTCTTTTATATTATATTGAAACATATTAGTTAATTGCAATAACTAAATACAAGCATGTCAGTTATACACAGATTTCATATAGCAAATAATTATCAAAGTAAATGGTACCTCTCATTGGTTAAAATATCTTCATAATTATAGTTGTCTATCAATGTGTTGTTGCGACTAATCTCGCTCGTCTGATATCACAGCAAGCTCACAAAATTCATCGCGGCAAGGAGGCAAGATTGCACCTATCGTTGGCAACAGCCTTGGGCACCTTTTAGGTGACAGTACGACTTTCAATTTCACCCCCCCCAACTTTGAAGGAGAGCACCCCAGGGAAATGGATGTTTAATAATGTAAAAACTTTAACTGCTGCTGGAAATCCATAAATATGTCTTCATTACGATATTCCACATTATGATTTTTGTGAAATAATATATGATGTGACAAACCATGGTCACATATACTATATACCATATACACATCAGATATACAGGGTGTCCGAAAAGTCTTTCCCTGATTACATAAATTTATAACTCAGGCTAGAAGTAAGATACAAATATGAAACCTGTGTCGAATTGTTTATAAACTATCAAAGTTTTTTTTTTCTGTTTTAGGTTCGCAGTACGTAAGTAGTGGATGAGGTGCAGTGCCCAAGAAGCCATGTTAACCAATCAGGAGAACGCACAGTGTGTCCTGTGGTACCATGAGACACGATCATCAACCACAGTGCAGAGACACTTCCAGACAACATTTAGAAGGAATCCACCTGATGTCAAGAGCATTAAAGCCTTTTATGAGAAGTTCAAGAACACATTATCGGTTGCTGACCTTCTGAGGCCTGGTCAACCAAGAACCTCAGCAGACAGGGTGGAAGCTGTGAGGCAGTCTTTTCTGCGAAGTCCGAAGAAATCGGTGAGCAAGCTCTCTCCATGACATTTTACACAAGCGTTTATTGTTTCGTGCATACAAAGTGCAAATCGTTCAGGCCTTGTTGCCCAATGACAGTACACGTTGATATGACTTTGCGGTCGAAATGCTATCATGTATTGAGGATGATGATGGTTATCTCGGATGAATTGCCTTTTCCAACGAAGCGACCTTTTTTGTCAGTGGAGTAGTGAATCGCTATAATGTGTGCACTTGGGGTTCACAAACCCTTGCGAAGTCATGGAGTGCACCAGAGGCAGTCCAAAGGTGAATGTTTGGTGCGTGCTATTGCATGATCAAATTATCGGGCCATTCTTCTTCGCTGAGGTTACCATCACATCTGCAGTGTATCTGGACATGTTGCAATTGTATGCTATTCCTCAGCTGCTTCAGTATCACCCCGATGTCTTGTTTCAGCAAGACCAGTGCACCGCCTCATTGGGGTTTGGACGTCCATATCTATCTCGATATGACTTTTACTGGGCGATGGATTGGTCGAAATGGGCCAACGGTTTGGCCTCCACGCTCTCTGACATAACCCCATTAGACTTCTTTTTATGGGGTTATGTCAAGGACGAGGTCTACCGAACACGTGTACCAGATCTTGAAACCCTGCGGCAACGGATAACCACAGTCGTTGAATCGATCTCTCCAGTGATGTTAGCTAATGTGTGGACGGAAATTGAATATTGCCTAGATGTGCTATGTGCTACCAAGGGTGCTCATGTGGAAGTTTACTGATGTGTGAAAAAACTTTGATAGTTTGTAAACAATTAGACACCAGTTTCATATTTGTATCTTACTTCTAGCCTGAGTTATCAATTTATGTAATCAGGGAAAGACTTTTCGGACACCCTGTACTACATGCCATTTATTGATCACAATGAAACTAACGCTTATTTACTTTAATCAAGTCGTCTCCATTTATAAACATTTTTATATTATATAATATTTCTATCTTTTAAAATTCATACCATTTTATTTATTTCTTCAATGGCTAAACCTAAATTTGTTGCTTGAAATCCTGAAGTTTTATATGACTCAAATATAGCATTATAATCTATACCATCATTAAAGTCATATCCTTTAACAAACTGCTTTTCTTTTGGTAGAGATGACTTTTTCAATACAGCATCACGGGCTACTGATGGAATTTCTTCAACAGACATTTTCAACCTGAAATATGATAAACTTGAATTTGAAATGACATACTAAAAAGAAAAAAATATACAACATATATTTATTTATTTGGTGCTTCATTAAAAGAAAATGACAAATTTAAGACTTTTTTCTCTGCTGGAAAACTATTAAAAATATTAAATGATATTTTAAAAATTCAGTATGCAGTGCAGCCTCGGATCATTAACAAACAATCTGAACAAAATATGCCCTGAATGATGAACAATGTCTTACGTTAGTTACGAACACTTGTAGTTAGCAAAATATGATTCTAAAAGGTGTTTTGAAGTTATTTATGTCCCATAGTTAATATTCAGCACCTTCTGTAAACATAATTTTAATATTTTCTATTACTTAACTCTAATTCATAAAGCATGGTTACAAGTGATTTACAGGACAATGAATTTGGCCTGAAGGAAATTATGGCCAAATTGGGTGGCAGGCAGGGGTTTTGAGCACTTAAGACTTTTTGGTTTTCTTTGATAGTGTTGAAGCCGTAAAGAAGTAACTATAGGGCTATAAAAATACACTCAACATGAAAAGACTACCACAAACTCAGAAACAGCAACAGGCAATTCTGGTAGAAACGCCTTCAGAAGAAGATGGTGAAAGAAAAAAGCTCCTAATTTCTCTGAAACTTTGACAAAATAGGATAGGATGCCCAGTTTTTGTGTAACGATATCATCCTTATAAAGAAGCATTAAGTTTAGTTTCAATAACATTGTCACGTCTTACTTTAGAAATATTTTAAAACATGGATAACAACAAAATACATTGAAGAAGTTTTGAGTGAAACTGAGGCCCAGTGAGTCACGAGTAGAAGCAAATGGTACTTAAAAAAAAGATGTTTCCTAAAAATAGTTACCTAAGATTTTTATGGAAAGGGATTCCAAACACATTTTTCTCATCATTTTCTACTAATGGCTTCTTTAGTATGTTGATCTTTATACTGGTATAGTAAAATTAAATGAAGTTTTCATCTATTTTATCTGCTTCATATTGTGGTTAATTTTGTTTCTTTTTAATATTCAATGGTTTCCATTGTTTTTGTGTTATGCAATTATGCACTAAGTATTATGATGTTTTAAAGCTATTGTGTATGGTCCAGGAATGAATTATTTCCATTTTATATTTATTCTATGAGGAAAACTGATTCAGTTTCCAAATATTTCAGTTGATGAAAAACCTTTAGGAGCTAAATTAGTTCATGAACCGCAGTTTCTTTGCTCTAATGTATTACAGGTAATAATAGCATAAATATCACAACATTTTCAGTAATAATGGTACTAATATCACTACATCTTCATAACAGTAAAGTTTATCGATATGTATTTAAATGGTGAAAGAAAGTACAATCAATGGCATTATTGGAAATAAAAAATCAATAAAACTATGGGAATGAATTAATTATTGCTCTTGCACCAGGTATATTTTGGCTGCATCAGAATATCAGAAAATTAAATTTTGCGCAATGAACTTTTAGAGCATTTTTCATATTACACACATGTAAATTGAGTTCGTTACGAAATGAATGCATTTATGTTACAATTTTTAATATTTATTTATACTAGAGAGTTATAAATTTGTGTTTTTTGAATAAATATTAAATCCTGCAAAGTACAGATTTCCTTGAGAAAACCATCAAACATTTTCCTAGTTCCTTGTGCTTCTTGCATATTGTTGCGTGCGTACGAGTTCGTTACGAAATGAATGCACAAGTCCTATGAAAAAGGAACAAAATTTATTATTATCACAACAAATAATGCTTAAATGTCCTCAAATAATCATGCAGTATCACAATATATCACAGTAGTTATCTTCTAACTACTCAAACGTTCAAGAAAACTTAATTCAAAACAGCTAAAGAAAGCTAATCCGCGAATTCACTACAGTCAACAAGAGCAGTTTTCTAAACAACAACAAACTAAGTAACTCCTACAAACTGAGAGGTTTTCCTCCATTTATAAGATTTTAAAATCGCGCACAAGAATTTTCTAGTACTCTCTCGAAATCAAAAAGAGATATTTATTAAATGTTTAATGCACGCGCTCTTGTATTTTCAATTTTCCGGCTTAGCTTTCTTTTAACATTCGTCACGCGCTGCACTGCGCGGGAAATAAAACCATTTAATTTATAATTGAACTAACATTAGCTTTTTAAATACCAAATTCGTAACAATATTTTATTTTCACAACATATCTCTTCTATAGATTTTTTTTTTCCCTGCTGGTGGAAATAGTACAAGAAATATTTGGTATTTTCAATATTTTCCTTTGGAATGTCAATATGAAGATACTGTTGCTTAATGCTGCCATCTAGTAAATACAAAAGAAAAACTTTATGTAGTGGTTTTGTATATGGTTTTACAGTATCAAATAGTAGATCTACATAGTTATCACCCATAATGTCAGGTTTATCAGTAAACCTTTCAACCCCAGTCTAAATACAAGAGAAAAAGCTACATTGCATGAAATTCAATCTAACATCGGAATTATTTCAAAGGCTAACAAAGATGGCCAGTCAGTCAATCATGGCAAAAAAAAAAAAAAAAAAAAAAAAAAAAAAAAAAAAACACCAATGGTAACATTAACTCTTAAATAAACAGTAAAGTTTATCGATATGTATTTATATGGTGAAAGAAAGTACAATCAATGGCATTAATGGAAATAAAAAATCAATAAAACTATGGGAATGAATTAATTATTGCTCTTGCACTAGGTATATTTTGGCTGCATCAGAATATCAGAAAATTAAATTTTGTGCAATGAACTTTTAGAGCATTTTTTATATTACACACATGTAAATTGAGTTCGTTACGAAATGAATGCATTTATGTTACAATTTTTAATATTTATAATCTGATCCTTAAGGAGCCTTTATCTTTGGACTTCTCAAAAATAAAAACTGCAATTAGATTTCTGCGTAAGATGTTTCAATATATGCATTGTGATATTATTGTCTGGGTTTATAAAAACGTAAGCAAAACCTGATGCAGAAATTAAACATACTAAGACATGTAGTACTGTGTATGATCTACACCACTATCCTGCTTTAGAAAGATAAAGAATACCTGAACTTATATTGACAAAATAAGAATGTGCTTGAAATTTCCTCTCACATTATTTTTTAATTGCTCTTTTATTCTTATTCATATAGAAACACGATATTTAACTAAATTATGTATAATTGTATATTTACCAGAATAAAATTCCTGAAAAGTTAATTATATTTTGTGTTATAATTTAATTATATCAATTAGTCAGTCAGACAAGACTGATAAATATATTAATGTAGCAATGGGTTATATATCAACACTTTTGCGCACGCACTGGTTCGTATTAGATTGAATGCACAAATCTGATAATAGGTTAATAAAATTTATTCTTATCAAAAGAAATATATCAGAACTCTGGAATTTTCCTCAGAGATATTTGTTTGTACAAGTGCTCATAATATCATATGATATAATCAGTAGTTATACTTCAGACTACTAAAAACTTTAAAAAATGCGCATCTAAAGAGAAAGCTAACTCTGATATTTCAGATCACGTGGAACTAAACAACTCACAACAACAGTAACTAAGCAACTGAATTTGGATGCTCTCTCTCCGGCCTAACTTTCAACTGGTGAGAGATAATTCTAGTAGTTTCTGTTTCTCAAAATTACTGGACAGCAATAAAAGGATGGAATTACAGTTACAGCTAACATAGCAGTCAATTACATTTATTCAATTTCAAAACAAATTACTGAGATATCTATTTACTCAATGTTAAATGCACGTGTCTCTGTATTCTTACTTTTCGGTCATAGCTTTCTCTTAATATTTGTCTCGTGCTAAATTACACTGGAAAGTACATCAATTTTAATTATAATTCTATTAAAATTAGCTATCTACATATAAAATTCATGAAACTGCCCCTTCCCAAGCACTGCACGTCCTGGGCAGTACAATCCCTGGATAGGAAGCCATACTTAACAACAAAGGCATCAATGCAATAATAAACATTACAATACAAAAACAAAAAAACATAAACAATAATTACAATACGTAACATAAAACAAATCAAATACTAAATCAATTAATCAGTGCACAAATTTACAAATTTAGAAACAAAAAAGAGCGATGGTCTTATACTATTTACATTATATACACTACATACTATGGCCATAGTAAGGAGCTAGCCTGTCATAATGAATAACTTTGATCTTAAAATTCGCAGACTTAAGGATCCAAACAACGACGTTGTTCAGCCTCTTTAGGACTGTGTAAGGATTATCCCAAGGTGACTGTAATTTAGGAGAGAATCCTTCCTATCTAATCGAATTCTACAACCATACCTTGTCTCCATTGAATCGATGTGCTGTAGCTTTTGTGTCCTATTGGGTCTTCATCTTCTCTGTCACCAAGTTGACTTGCTCTCGTGCAAAATTTTGCATCACTTCAAACAAGAGATCACAAGGCAGAAGGTCATGACCGATGAGCATTCGAGATGGGAATAGCTGGTAGTCTCATGGACAGCATTGCGATAAGCCAGTGAAAACAGAGGTAACTTCTTGTCCCAATCCTGTTGGTTTCTGAAAAAAAACCACCGAGAGGTTATTAAGGATAGCCTAATTAAACCTCTCCACCATGCAAAATTTCTTCCTTCATTGGAATGTAACTGAACAGGCACTCCGAGCCTGGAAATCCACTGCTGTATCATTACCTTTGCTACTGTGACAGCCTCTTGATCAGGAATAAGATATGCTTCAGGCCACTTGGTGAGGTAATCAATGACAAGCAGGATGTATTTGTTGCCATCAGCAGTTCGTGACAGGGGTTCAAAAGGAGCTCCTCCTAGAATGTAGCGTTGCATCTTGCCGCGTTTTTGAGTCTTTTCCAACCTGCACAATTAGCCCCACTTTTCACACCATCCTTCGCATTACACCAGTAGAAGGGTTCTCAACTCTCTGTCTTCATTATTCCTAAGTGGCCACCTGTAGGGCTGTTTCAAGAACGTTTGGGACCAGGAATCTTGGAAGTATCAGCTGCCATCGGAATGCCTTTCCATCATCTGATTTGAATATCAAGCGAGTTCTAGAGAGTTCAATATTGCTTTATCGTAGAATTCTAAATAGAAATGTCTTGCCAGCTAGGTTTTCTATTTGAAGACTCCATTAAGCGAATTATGGGTTTTGTGTCGCCGTCCTCTAGCTATTCTCTCCTGACTTCGTCACTTCATGGGTCTCAATCAGCCGATGCTGATGTTGTAACTTCTCATGCAACTGGACCAGCAGCTCGTATTTTGCTTTCGAACAATATTGGCAGCTTTCTGGGCAGGATCTTCTTGACAGGGCATTGCCGTTTCCATGTGATGATCCCTTCCTATGACAGATAGTGATGCCATATTCCTGGGGCTTTGTATTCACCTGGCTATTTGGCCTTCAGGATTCTTGAAATTTAAAAGCCAGGGCAACGATGCGTGATCTGTGTGGAGCAGGAATTCTTCTCTGCCGTAGAGATAATGATGGAAATGTTCCACAGCGAGCAACTCCTTCCTGGTGATACAGCAATTCATCTCCAGTTTAGAAAGGCATCTGCTTCAATAGGGCATGACACGTTCTTTGCCATTTATTTCTTGGGAGAAAACAGCACCGACACTTTCATTGCTCATATCCGTGTTGAGAATAAATAGCCTGTGGAGCTGAGGATAAGCCTGAATTGGAACAGATGTTAAAGCTTCCTTCTGCTTGCTCTCTGTCAGCTTGTGAAGGGATCTTGTGATGGAAGAAAAATCCTTCACAAAACTCCTATCATAAGTGCAAAGCCCAAGGAAACATCTCAGCTGATGGACATTTTTGAGGCATCTCCAGTCTTTAGTTGACACTTTTTCAAGATTTGTACACACACTGTCTGAGATGTCTGAGGTAAGTCACTTTCTGTCTGAAGAATTTACATTTGGTGGGTTTAACCATACATTGGCTTCTTTCAGTTCCTGAAGCAACTTTCTAAGATTTTCTAAATGTTCTTCAAAACTCTTCCCAATGATGATATCGTCCAGATATATCAGACAGGCTTCATATGAAAGACCTCTCAACACAGTCTCCATGAGACGTTCAAATGTTGCTGGCACATTACATAGTCCAAATAGCTTCACTTTGAACTCCCAAAGTCTTTTTCTGGTAGAAAATGCCATCATTTCTCGGTCATCAGGATGTATCGCTACCTGCCAATACTCACTCTTTAAATTAAGTGTCAAAAACCCACTTGCTTCCAGAAAGTCATCACTTCTAGGAAGATCTTAACTTCCGTGCCCTGGGGTGTTTTGCAGTTTCGTCATATGTGGCCTTCAGCACGACAGTTCCAGCACTTTAGGGTTGATTTCTTGTCACTGATATTCCATCTCAAGGCATTAACTCGTCTGGTTAAATCATGCTCCTCGCCTACATGATATCTTATACTTCAATCTGATAAAAGAGACATTTTCAAAGAAGATGGACATCTCATTCCAAAAAAAGTTGAAATTCTGTGAAAAGCGATTCTGAAGATGAAAAATATAATAACACCAACAAAAATTCTCTGATTTTGATACAAGTGGTCTCAGAAAGTAAACATGCAAATGCAAAATATTTAAAACAAATCGAGAGGATTTTTCTAAATTACACTGCCTGCCATAAATTTCTTGAAAATCTAATTTTGTTTTCTTAAACTTTCTATAATACATTTATGATTTCCTATTAGTGAATGGCATAAATAAGAAATAATATTTAAAATTAAAATATATTTTTTAAAATACATTTTGGAAACAGCACTATTCAAAGTTCATAAATTATTTATCTGTTGTTACTTGAAGATTATGATTTCCAGAGTCAGATATGATACTAAATGCAGTTTTGTCAGATTCACTTTTATATAATTAACAAATGCAAAAACATTTACCTTCAACATCAGTGCTCATACCATAATGCAGACTATTGATCACTTACAATCTGAACCTATTCCTACAAACAATATTTTACTATCAATGGATGAGGAAGACAATAGCACTATTCCAGTATTTTATGTGTAAATGTAGACACACTAACACATTATGAAACAAACAAACTATTTATTCATAATACAAAAGCATTTGCATAAAAAAAATTGAACATTATAGTCATTTTTTTATGGATCCAATGATCAATATACCATGTAATAGTTCAAATATGAAACAATTTATTGGATGTCATTATTATAATTATACATGATTAGAAATGTGTATGAATAATTTTTCCAAAATTCACTTGTTTCACTTAATAAATAATAAGCAACAAATCAAATTAATATCAGATTGAACACCTTTCCAAAATTTTAGCAATTACATCTTCTTTTTAAAATTTAACTGAAATTACTCTCTCACATTCATCTTAAAAAGTGTTTTAATATAATAACTTTTGTTGAAATATGCAGATGAATACTGATCATAAGCACGTAATTTCAGACCATTGATAAAAACTAATTTACCGGAACACGTGTTTTGATTTCTCACTTTCCGGCGTAAACTCATTTGCCATAATTTATATATTAGTAACATGGAAGTGCTTTAAAAATATAACGCATAACATATGTTATACACAGAAATAAAATTACCGCTAGAATTCACCTCTTATTGATTAGCCAATATTGCTAAATTTACGTCATTACTGAATCGCTACCGGTCCACAAAGTTCGATTTCTACGAAACGTTACTCTCGCTATTCGCTGAGCAGAACACAAATAGATTCCAGAGGACATCTAACCGGTCGATATGTCTATCGTTTGTAGAATTTAAGCTAAATTTCTGTTACTTTGAGATATAAATTTCGGTACTTCAACCAGCGGCTTCACTGTTGTATCATTACATGCATAAAAGTACCAGCAATTTATCTTACCGATATTCTTCTCTAGATTTAACGAAACGTTCAACCTCTCACTTAGAAGATATATCCCAACATGCATCACGGAGGATGGCGATCATGAATGAAGCAGAGGAACAAGAACGAAAAATCGTTAATGAATTTTGCCATTTGTTGGAGAAATCCAAACAGCTTTTTAATGGACTGAGGTGAGAAATTATTTATTTTGGAAATGATATTAAAATTATGCAGGTGACTGTGACATATTAAATGATTCTGTTTATTTAAATTGTGTAGTTTGTATCAGATTGATTCTGTATCATGTAATTAATTCATTATGAAAAGCATGAATATTTTGTTTTCTTTAAAAGAGTTTTTCCTTTAATGCTTTAAAAAATACTAGTTTTAATCACAACCTTAAAAAAGTTGGATTTCTTGGTAAATCTAATTTTCTTGTGATTTGATAAAAATATGTTCACATTATTTCATGTTTTAGTGTTTCTGCATTTTAAATGAGAATTAAATATTTGTGTTTCTGAGTGAGAAATTAAAAGCATTTTTATCATCTCTAATGTTTTATTTAAATCTTTAAATAAAGTTAATAGTATAAGTTAAAGTATTGCTAAAATATTATAAATAAAGTGAAGTCATTGCTAAATTCCTAATTAAGATGTATAACATTTTATAATTACAGTATTTTTTTTTTTTAAATTTAGGGATCTACCTCAGTATGGCCACAAACAGTGGCAAGCATACTTTGGTCGCACATTTGATGTCTATACTAAACTTTGGAAATTTCAGCAGCAGCATAGGTATGCATTGATTAATTTTTATAGGACTATTAGGTCAGTTTATTTTATAAACAATAACTGATGATGAAGAAGAAATTTATGCTAAAATGCTTATGAAGTAGGAGTTATGTAATTAAAATTCATATTTAGTATTTTCAATACTTTCATTGACTAGTTTGTAGAGAAACTGATCATTAAATATATTAAAAAAAATTTGACTACTTCATGGCAGAGTGTATAGAGAAATTATTATTGAACTTTCAAAGAATATGAGGATTGCTTTATATTTATGAAATAAAAATGGGGTTTCATCACCAAAATTGAATAAAATTTGTCATCAATTGAAGGGGCATCCAATTCTACATTAGTGCTGAGAAAAGGATATTCCTATGCATTGTAAGTTTTATACTGTGGCAATGAAATTTTTTGGGGGAAAGAGCTAGAAAAATTAAGTATTTTGAATGATTTCCGTGTTTATAATTGAATATTTATTTTAAAAAATGCAAACTGATAAAAGAAATTCTATAGTTTTTTAGAAAAATTTGATTTTCTATAGTTTTTTAGAAAATTTCACTCATAAAAATATTTTTTACTTCAAGTAAAGATTTTGGTATGTACGTATTATTGCAACCACCTTGGCCCAGTGTGGTGAATTTGATGGAAGGGGAAAAACAGTTAATTTTATTGTAAAAAAATTATGTATTTTATACATATTCTATTTTTATATAGATATTTATTGTACATTACAATCAGTAAATTTATTTACAAATACGTTTTTGTTTTTATTATGGTGGAAATTTCGTAGCTGTCACTTTGAGAAAGAATTTGAAGTATTTTTTGAAGTAGGAGTTAGTGATTTTTTTTACCTCTTTCTCTTCTGTTATCTTCTTTGTTATCTGTTCTCTTCTGTCCTACAAACTCAAATTTTAAAATCGAGTTGAAAAAAATTCATAATTTTTCCAAACAAGCCTCTAGGAATTTGGAATTCAACAAAAAGAATGCATATGTAAATAGCAATATTGGCAGGCGAATTTTTGTCACGTGCATGGTTAGCAGAGTTGGGTGTATTCTGAAGCTTTTTTAATTCATTCACAATATATGAAATCTCAGTTATATATATAACAAATATTATGTATGAATATACATATTTTTGGCTAGTATTATGAGTTGCAGCTGTTTTTAATCAAAGGCTATTAACAGTTACTAGAACATTAACTAGAAAACTAAGAACAATTTCTTAAAACTAAAAATGTTTTTAAGGAAATGAGAGAAATAACGAAACTTATCATTCTGTAGCTGAATACAATGTCTGTTTTAATGTTTCATTACTTTTATTTAAATAGGCAAGTATTGGACACTAAATATGCACTCAAACGGTGGCAGATTGGTGAAATAGCTTCCAAAATAGGACAACTATATTATCACTATTAGTAAGTTTTTTTTAAATATTATTATTTGAATTTATCTTTTTGACTTGTATTATACAATTCATTTTTGCACAAGATGTAACAAATTATGTCTAATAATAATGAGACGAGCTGTATATATGCATACTGGATAATTAAGACTGAAATTTCACACTTTTCTCTAAAAAGGATTCATATATAATTTACTTCCAAATTTGTTAATTTTTTAAATTAAAGGTTAAAACAAATTTTTATGGAATTTATGCTTGTATCTTTGCTTAACAATTGGAGTAGTCATGAACAAATTTCATTGTACCGTGAAATACATAGGAAACTAATCTTACAAATGCAGATTGCTTATGGAAGGAGGAACACTCTTCTTGAAAATATATTCTGAAATCACTCATTTGCTGTTACATATACAAATTATTTACTTTTAAAAATGTAATCATCATTCTTAGCAACATATTCGAACATAAACATACAAATTTGGGTTTTTATTCAGTTGCCAAATGCAAAATAACAATAATGGCAAAACTATTGTTTACTTCAAAATGGACAATAACATGTCAGTTATAATGGGTTCTCAATCAATTAGAGGGGTTCTCAATCAAATACTTGTAATGGTGAATCTTATAGTTTTATGGGGGCAATGCAGTTTAGTCTTTTAGTTACCTGTTAAATGTTTTATTTTGTAAAATTACTGTAATTCAAGTTTTTACATTTATTAACATTTTCGTGTTTAATTTATAAAACATATTAAAAAGTAATCTAAATTTAAATAAATGTATATATCTATTTTTCAAATTTTGGAAAGGAGGGAGAGTACTTATACAAAATAATCGAATATAAAGTTAATTATAAATCTAAACTTTCAGGTTTCTTGACCACTTGTGTAGAAACTTGTTCTGGAAGTAAATGAATATGATCATTTTCTACATTCAAATCTGAAGTCTGATGTCTAACTGTAGTATGACTAGATGCATCATCAGTCTCAATTTCATGTGGAAGATGGAGAGGTACATCTGAAGATGTTACCTCACAAAAGTATAGTGTGACCGTATCAAATGCAACCTTGGGGCATTCTGCCAAAAATCTTAGAATTGTCTAGAAGGTGTGTAATTATGCGCCACAGGGTGAAGAAGTCACATGAAAGTTTGCTCTTCCCAGAAGGAATTTACTGTCGAAGGAGGGAAAGTCTTTGCATCATGGAATGGTCTTGTTGCTAGTTGGCAGGCTTTATTTCATATTTGTTGCAATAAATGCAAAAATTCGCTTTGTGCAAAGCTGGAAACCAAAAATGCTGAAATTTTTTTTCAAATGTATGTTAACAATGCATATTTTATTGTGTAATTTTAAAAATAATAGAACTATATTTTTTACTGGATATATTCTTTCTACAGTAAGAAAAAAGGTCAATATTTATCTGCTACATTTTAGCAGAATCTTCTCTGATCGTAGTTTACTTAACACGACATTTACCAATATTATTATCTTTTATGCAAGAAATATTTTCATTCTTCTTTTCCTAGAATAAATTTATTTTTTTTTCTTCCCCAATTCAACTATGTATAATATGGCATATGCATTTTAGCCAATTGTAAAATTTATTATGATATAATTATAATTAAGTAAATAACTAATAATCATTTATTTATAACATAAACTAATTATTAAAATTTTTTCAATGTGTTGTATTTTAGTTCAAAGAAAAATCTATATATAATAATTATTATAATATTATAATAATTGCTTATTGTAAAAATTATTATAATTGATTATTATATTAAAAATAAATTTTAATGAAAATTATACAATGAAATATAATTAAATAATTATAATAGCAATAATAGTTATTTATTACACACACACACATATATAGCAAAATTAAGCTTTGGAAACATAGTTTTTATCAATTATGTAAATAAATATATGATGATGATGATGTCGTGTCTATGACAAAGTGCAATTATATAGCTCCGAAGCTGTCAAAGACAGCTTTTGCAACCCTGGCAGCTCTATCAGTATAAAGTAGGTCCTCTGGGTCTTCAATGCCGATCTTCAATGAAATAAATATATAAATGCACAAAATGAAACATAGTGCAATCAAACAATGAATTACAAATGATGATCAGCATATAAACTTAGATGGCTTAAAAGTAATTTTCTGCTTTGCTAAATCTGTGCTCTGAATGCAGTGAAAATAAAAGAAAGGAAAAAGATATGAACCAATAAATAAATAAATAAATAAAACCCTACTGCATGATTCATGTTCCATCCATTTTATTTTATCAATAAACCAGTCTGAATGACTCATGCATGTTTGTGCTCATAGTCAGCTCGGTTAAACTATATACAGGGTGCCCACTAAAGTTCGTTTAATGGACAGGAATGCCGAGAGATGTTTCGCATGGTGTAACTTCCTCATGAACCAGACAAAGGTCCAGCCAACATTCTTGGTAAGTTTAGTGTGGGCGGACGAGACATGCCTTTCGCGGAATGAAATGTACAGTAGGCAGAACACCCATTATTGGGTGCTGGACAATCCATCAGCTAATGTTTGATGTCAAATACGGGTTTTGATTAATGTTTTTTGTGGAATTTATAATAAGAGGCTAATCGGCTCAATATTTTGCCAGGATATGTTAACAGCCGCACAAAATTTGAACTTCTGCAAGACATAATACCGGATTTTGTTAAAAACCTGCCGTTTCTTCAACTCCTGAATAGATAGTTCCAACATGACATCAAGTGAAGGCTTAAGTGATGGAGGAATCCGGAAAAGGAATAATTGGGTACGGTGGTTTAGAAGAGTGACCTCCACGTTTACCTGACTTGACTCCAATGGACTTTTTATTGTGCGGATACCTCAAACAGCAGGTTTATGCGATCTCTCCACAAATATTGCTGGACTTTCAACAAAGTATTACAGATGCTTGTGTAAATGTGTTACCCCTATGCCAAAACGTGCAACATGAAGTTCTAACAAGGATCAAGATGTGCATTTCAGCTGTTGGAGAGACGTTTAAAACATCAAAAATAAAGGTAGCTTGTGATAAACGGTTGTTTATTTTCTTTCTAAGATTGTTTTGTGACGTCAAAGTTTTGAAAATCACAAACAAACAAATGCACATTTGAAAAGTTCTGCTCTTAGCATTCATGTCCACAAGGTATCTTTTCGTACTAAATCGATGATTCTCTACAACTTTGTAATTCACGTTTTCTTCCAATCTAGTATCTTTTCCGAGACAGGTACGCTAACTCCGCTGTTTTCCACCAGGTTGGGCTAAAAGCTTTCTCATCTCTTAGTGTATAGCCCCTTTACTATACTTGGAGACCACTTGTATGACTATAGCATCAGCCGTTCGAAAAACAAGAACAGTGACCCCTATGTGAATATTATGCCATCGTTTGATATTCAGATTCTTAACAAGTTCAGAAAGATATATTCTTTAGCACCTCCTCTGAAAACTATCTGAAATATGTAGAACCGCAAATGCAATATTGATAGTTTATCACAAATACACTATTTAACTTGATATGGCATGCCATGCACAAAATGGCAAGATAAACGTCAGTACAACACTGATTGTCACAACCTAGATACCTGCCTCATCAAATTCATATGGCAGGAATTGCATGAAAAAATGAAAATGTTTTTGATAGTGTTAAAGGAAATTCGCATAATTTTTTTTGGCCCTTTATAATTTGAAATTAATCTGATAACATATGTATTATATTTTTGTATTTGTCCTTTTTTTTTTTTTTTTTGTATTTATTCTGGATTTAGTAAAACAATCATTCTTTTCACGAAGCTTTACATGTCATAAGACTGTCACTATCTAGTTAGATTTTAGTCCACGTAATGCCCCATTAATGGAAAAGTACCCAAATTCTTCTCTTATGAATGTTTTGATATCATGAAGTACTGCAATATTTATGTGGAGTTTATTCAGTCGCTACTGTAACGATCTTATTCATAGTTTCAATTGTGCTCAAATGAAAGTGCTCAAAGTTTTTAATTCTTGTGAGTATTAATTCTTTTCACTAAAGTTTCATATTAGTTTTAAGTTCTTTGAATTATATGCTATTTGTTTTAGGTAAAATTTTGATTTGAATTTTTAACAAGTATTTTATTATTTCACTTACTTTTTCGATTCTTTAAATAGAATTCTCTTTATTTAAGGTACAGGATTTTAATTAGAATTTTCCTTGTTTTGGGTAAAGGCCAGAATTTTCGGGTGAACTATTGTAATTAAAATACACTGAAATGGTTCATCGACTAATTCTGGATACAGAAAAGCAATGATTTTTGTAAAAGAGATCTCAATTGATTTCAGTGTTTCTCCTCCTGATGAAGTGACATTGAAGTTGGTTCAATTCCTCTTCTATTATGCTAATTTTTCCTTAAATTTCATTAATTTTTTGAATTGGGGTATTGCTTGTTTGAAAAATTTTGGTTTTAAAATTTTAAAATTCTTTATTGCATTTATAGGATTATTTGAAATTTATCAATTATGAATTTCAATATTTAATCTTCGTGAAAAATTAGTTCTAAATTTCTTACTTTATGCCTTTATATATATATGTAAGATAAAAAGTATGAAAGCAAATTTCTAAATTTGGCTATAATCTCTTTTATTTTTTTTATTTGATTTGGGGACTTCATCTGTCTTTCACAAGAATAGCACTGTCTATAAGTCTAAACTGTGTCATTCAAATTAATCATGCAATTCTATGTAATGCTTAATGCAGATACCTCTTGCCCAAACAAATAAATTGTAAACCAAAACTAACTGGAACTGAAAATTTTGACTCCCTCTCTTCTTCCTCTGAATCACTGCGTCACTCTTCACTTCAATTTCTGTGTTGAGTGCTTAGCTATGCTCGCTTATATCACCTTAGTATCAAAAATGTAAATGTTCTGGAAATAGGCACAATTGGAGTGCCAAGTGAATTGTGGCCACAGATGTGAATTTAAATAAAAAAGGAATTTAATCTGGCTTGACCTTGTTAATTTTCAATATGGGTCCACACTCCAAGTATCTACACAATCAGTATTTCTGCATCTCAGTGTTCCTACATCAGTCCTTCCAAAATTGTGCTATTCTTACTGGCACAGTTGATTTTCAAACCGACAGGCATGTCTCAAGTATGTGGAACTCCCAATGCAGAGTTTATTCAACTAATCTATCTTCGTTTAACTAGTGGATAAAGAGAAAGTGTTCATCACTACCGGAATTCCAAATCAAGCCAAGGTCACTGTAACTTCGAAGTATGGTGCATGAAAATTTATTAACAGCGTTGTAGGCAGTGTGTTTATTAAAACACACTAAAGTGCTTATCTTATCTTTGTGTTCAAAAGTACTTATCTTATTTGGAAAGTAAAATATTATCAAAAGTAGTGTCAAAACGTGATTAATTTTTTTAAATTCTAAATTAATTGTTCAAAGTTGTTTTTATTGAGGAAATCCAAGTGACGATATTGAAAAAAAATGTGTTTTGATCTTACATGCTTAAAAAAAAAAAAACTTTTTTTTTTTTTTTTTGCTGCATCATTATAAATATCTTACTCAATAATTGGTTATATTTTGAAATCTGAAAATATAATGTAGCCCTGCTGTATGAAAATATCAAAATGTGTAAGTATTCTGAGATTTTATTCAGGGAAGTTTATTAAATTTTATTGTTATTAGTAAGTATAAGTTTTGTTAAAAATTTTGAATTAATGTTAAGAATTTTTGGAATTTATTTTGCTAACAAGATAAGATTATTGGATACTTTTCTGTTTTGCCGGCGCAGGCGATAAAGTCACCGGTAATGGTACAACTGATGCCAAACAGAATATCCTTGCTGGTAACCTTTTACACCTCATTTTCAAAACAAGTTGCAGCCATTTCTTATCAGATTGATTGTTTCTTTCAATACTGGCATACTATTACATAGAAATTTTACCAGGTAGGTGCAGTTTTATGCTATGCCCTAAGGCCATTTGTGGTAATTAAGTCAAATAGAATGCAATCACACCACTCGCCCTAAGGCGAAAATATTGAAAAGGCAAAGTTAAGGGTTAAATTCATCAATTCTAATGAGAATACACTAGCGAAGTAAAGCACTGCTGTTTTACATAATTTCTGAGTAAGCTATTCATACTAAATGAAATAATTCTTTCATTTAAACTTGTATTCCAAATTAACATTTAATTTGAAAGTAATGTAAATAATTACTGAGAGAATTAGATTTTTGTAACGTAGTTTACATAAGATGAGATCACTTAGAGTCCCGGGATATGAACTGGCGAATCAGGTTGTTGAACCATGAAAGCATAGTAAATTCTTAAATTAATGTCTATTTACAAATGTATTGTCTTTATTTACTGGCTTTTTACAAAATTTTAAATGATATTAAAATGTTTATGCCTTCAAAATAAAAAATTCTTAGAACTAATATTTTTTATATCTATACAGTATGTTGTTGCCAATAAAGTCTGCTTGGTAAGATTTACGCCGGCGAAATGGAAAAGTACCAATTATTGTTTAAAAAATTTGAATTTTA